CAATTGCAGCTGTCTTTATATCCATTCTTTTGAAAGCAGTAGCTCTTTGCAGAAACATAGACAAGGGCACAGTACACTACTGTAACTTGTATTTTCTGTACATTTCTGACTCTTGAGCGCAGGGTGATAATAGTATTTTTCATCTGTTTGACTGCTTTGTATGTTAATAAGGTGGCATTTTTCAGAGTCACCTTCTAAAAATCTAGAATCATTGCTTATTCATTCCACAGCAAAATAACGTTTCTAACCGTAAATGCAGAAGAATATTCATTTTCATAGAAAAAATTTACTATTAAAAAAAATAAACAATACTTCATTACCCTACCCTGTAGTATAGTTTCTCTCTGCAATGTTATCCCTTTTCGGTGCTACATTTCGACAAAGCCCAGATGAGTACGGTGAATGAGCAAAGAATTTTAAAAAATACTCACCTTTAGGAAGAAATTTTAAAATTTTCAACTACATTGTTTCAAGGAAAGCACGTTCTATATTATTTGTAAAAAACCTATGATAGAGACCTATAGTAGAAACATCGTACCATTTAATGATAAATTCCCCTCTAAAACATTCACTTTGGAAACTTAAGATAATACTTTTAAAGGACATTTATATTTGACATTATATATGTAATATAACTTAGGGCTATGTCACCGTTCTGAGGTTCGAAAATAGTAATTTTTATTACAAAAATGTGACCTTAATTTGTGCGAAAAACCATGTGAGCTTAAAAAGTTTGTTGAGCTGTATATCTTAAAATGTCGGATCTACCAAGTAGATACAAGGTCACGGATGGAAATTTATATAAAGCACTAAAAATGACCAACGACACGAACAATAAAAATTGTCAAATTTTCGGGACGCCCTGTCCCTTCCTCAGGACAAAGAAAAAAGTTAAAAAGTCATAAGAACAAAGGAAAAAGAGAAACAAAAACAACTAGCACTACTACTAAACTACTAAACACTAGATATTTACATACTTAATTACATGATGAATTAGGAATTTTTAAGAACACTAATAAAGAAAGAAATCCGGACCGCTATGAAATGCGTCCGGTCTCTCGGGTATACTCGGGTGAAGTGCGATTTACATAATTGAACGAATTAATTATGCTAATTAATTACGACAATCAGTAAATCGTACATTGTTTCATTCTCTCAAAATGGCGTAACTTTACTTAATAAAGAATAATCGAAGAAAAATAATATAGCAGGGATATTTAAACATATGAATTATGATCAATTATAAATTTTGAAATATTTATCGACTTATTACCGGGAAAAAATAATTAACAAAGGTGTAAGCAATACATAGTTATGAGAGTTGTTCGAGAGTTGGTGACGCAAATTAACTGTAGAGTTTACACTAAATTGAGAGAATAATCTTGTTTAGTATCATCAGGAATTGGGTCTAGTTTACGTTCATTCTGGTGAAGTCATTCAGTTTGTTAATACCATTAGGGCGGAATGACTTCAATCTGTGCATCCAGAACTTTTCTTTGCTTTTTCTCTGAGCATCTGTCCATCTTGGGTTATGGTCAATCACCACTACTGTCATGTCCTCCCATTTGTGACCCTCAAGGTTGAAATGTTCCCCAACGGGTTCATTGAGTTTTTTGGTCCTAATGGTCGAACGGTGGTTATTGACTCTCCTGCGGAGATCTCCTGTTTCACCTATATACTGTTTGGAGCAAACTTTGCAACTGATGAGATAAATGCAGTTGTCAGTATGACAGGACAAATTCCCTAGTATTTTGTAGCTGCGGCCTGTAACAGGGCTTTTAAAACTGTCTGTGTCAGTGCTGTGCTTACAAAGAAGACATCTTCTGTCAGAGCAAGTCTTAAAGCCCCCGTTAGGTAATGGGTTGTCCAGTCTGGTTCTTACTACCATGTCCTTAAGGTTCCTTGGGCGTCTGTATGCAGCCAATGGGGGTTCCTTAAAGACCTCTGCCATTCGTTTGTTTGAATGGAGAATTGGTAGGTTCTTTTGAAGGATACCGCTAAGGTTCTTAAGGACGGGATGGTATGTGGTTACCAGAGGGACCCTACCGCTATTGTCTTTCTCCTTGTAGCGTAATAGGTTTTGCCTGTCATGTCCCGCCATCTCATCAATAGCTGTTTGTACGGTGCGGGCATTGTAGCCTCTTTTGCATAAGTGGGACTTAAATTTCTGCCCCACGCCACATGAGGTCGACGAAAAACAAGTCAGAGAGGACATCCGAGCATTCTTCCGGAGACTACGTTTGAAGGAGCACTTCTCTAAAAAAGAATCCGAAGTAAATTCATACGACTCTTCCAAGCCAGATTTACACGATCTAGAGGAACACAAACTCTATAAGCCAAAGAGTGACTGGGAACCTGCACCGGGCAAGTGCGGCGCGCTTGAGTCGTATATTGACGCCGTTGAGTCAGACATAGAGAAGCTCCTTTCAATGTCAGACAAGACTCCCGACAATTTGAGTAAGGAAGAGAGATCTGCCTTACAATCATTAAAAAATCGGGATGACATTGTAATCAAGAAAGCAGACAAAGGCTCTACAGTTGTAGTAATGGATAATGAGACTTACATGGCGGAGGCCCAAAGACAACTCTCAGACGAACGTTTCTATAAGAAACTGGACTCGGACCCTACTAAAGAATTCTCCACCGCCATTACCAAAACTCTTGACGATATGTTTGAGAAAAATGAGATTGGTATCAACGTCTATGAGACCTTAAATCCTATTGACTGTAGACCAGGACAATTCTATCTGCTTCCTAAAATACACAAAGAAGGCATGCCAGGTCGCCCCATAGTCAGCGCAATTGGACACCCCACGGAGAAAATCTCTGAATTCATTGATTTACATCTCCGTCCACACGTAGAGAATTTGCCATCCTATCTTAAGGACACCACGGACTACATTAACAAGACGCCCTCTACTGGCCTCCCTAATCATACCCTCCTCGTGACTATGGACGTCACATCTTTGTACACCAATATTCCACACGATGAGGGTATCGAAGCCTGTAGAGAAGTCTGGGATAGTAGATCCATACAAATTCCTTCTACTGAGTCCCTTGCTAAGCTCCTTGAACATGTTCTCAAGTTCAACAACTTCATGTTTAATGGAGAACATTACCTGCAAGTTAATGGCACTGCTATGGGTACTAAAATGGCACCGTCTTATGCCAATGTCTTCATGGGCAGACTGGAACGCAACTTGTTACTTCAAGCACCATTTAGGCCCCATAGCTGGTTGCGTTTCATAGACGATATAGAGATGAAGTGGGTGGAATGTTGCGAGAGCCTCGAGGCATTCATTACGTTTGCCAACACCTTTCATCAATCGATCAAATTTACAGTAGACGTATCTAATTCGAAAAACGTATTCCTAGATACTACATCTACCCTGATTGATGGTGAAATCGAATTCAGTCTCCACACCAAACCCACAGACTCCCACCTATATCTTATGCCCTCTAGCTGTCATCCCCCACACACTTTTAAGGGAGTGCCTAAGGGTCTAGCCACCAGAATTCGACGCATCTGTTCGTCCCCTGCCTTATATCAGGAGCAAAGTGGTCTTCTTAAGTCCCACTTATGCAAAAGAGGCTACAATGCCCGCACCGTACAAACAGCTATTGATGAGATGGCGGGACATGACAGGCAAAACCTATTACGCTACAAGGAGAAAGACAATAGCGGTAGGGTCCCTCTGGTAACCACATACCATCCCGTCCTTAAGAACCTTAGCGGTATCCTTCAAAAGAACCTACCAATTCTCCATTCAAACAAACGAATGGCAGAGGTCTTTAAGGAACCCCCATTGGCTGCATACAGACGCCCAAGGAACCTTAAGGACATGGTAGTAAGAACCAGACTGGACAACCCATTACCTAACGGGGGCTTTAAGACTTGCTCTGACAGAAGATGTCTTCTTTGTAAGCACAGCACTGACACAGACAGTTTTAAAAGCCCTGTTACAGGCCGCAGCTACAAAATACTAGGGAATTTGTCCTGTCATACTGACAACTGCATTTATCTCATCAGTTGCAAAGTTTGCTCCAAACAGTATATAGGTGAAACAGGAGATCTCCGCAGGAGAGTCAATAACCACCGTTCGACCATTAGGACCAAAAAACTCAATGAACCCGTTGGGGAACATTTCAACCTTGAGGGTCACAAATGGGAGGACATGACAGTAGTGGTGATTGACCATAACCCAAGATGGACAGATGCTCAGAGAAAAAGCAAAGAAAAGTTCTGGATGCACAGATTGAAGTCATTCCGCCCTCATGGTATTAACAAACTGAATGACTTCACCAGAATGAACGTAAACTAGACCCAATTCCTGATGATACTAAACAAGATTATTCTCTCAATTTAGTGTAAACTCTACAGTTAATTTGCGTCACCAACTCTCGAACAACTCTCATAACTATGTATTGCTTACACCTTTGTTAATTATTTTTTCCCGGTAATAAGTCGATAAATATTTCAAAATTTATAATTGATCATAATTCATATGTTTAAATATCCCTGCTATATTATTTTTCTTCGATTATTCTTTATTAAGTAAAGTTACGCCATTTTGAGAGAATGAAACAATGTACGATTTACTGATTGTCGTAATTAATTAGCATAATTAATTCGTTCAATTATGTAAATCGCACTTCACCCGAGTATACCCGAGAGACCGGACGCATTTCATAGCGGTCCGGATTTCTTTCTTTATTAGTGTTCTTAAAAATTCCTAATTCATCATGTAATTAAGTATGTAAATATCTAGTGTTTAGTAGTTTAGTAGTAGTGCTAGTTGTTTTTGTTTCTCTTTTTCCTTTGTTCTTATGACTTTTTAACTTTTTTCTTTGTCCTGAGGAAGGGACAGGGCGTCCCGAAAATTTGACAATTTTTATTGTTCGTGTCGTTGGTCATTTTTAGTGCTTTATATATATATATATATATATATATATATATATATATATATATATATATATATATAATTTACATGTATACTTACGTGTTCGACACCTGTAGCCCGACCAGCCAGTACAACAACGATATCGCGTTTCAGGCCGATATCGGACAATATTTTCACGCCTAGTGCTGAAAAAACAATGGAAATGCAATCAATATACTACTATTCGCATGCATGAAATCAATTTGAGAGAAGTAAAGATTTTATATCATTTTCACTGCTTACCACCACCAGAGGAAACTTTTAACACACACGTTATAACTTATATACGATACTGTAACTTGGTATGCTTCTTGATTGTTTGTGCAACTAGAAAAAAATATTTAAAAAAATAAATTTTTATATCTACGAATAAGATAAAGAGAGAAGTGATGAAAATTTAAGACCGAAAAAGAAACATACCTCTTTACTGAAGACCAAAGAATATAAAAATTAAATAAGAGAAGGTACATCTCCACTTAATAACTGTTGCAGTAATCAGTGACTTGTTCTTGCTGCAAATTAGACGAGTCTGTCATTTTTGAGTTTATATAATATAGAAGAAACTTATCAACCAGGAAGTATGACTGAGCTGACCAATGATAACTTAAACTAATTTAAAAATTGAGGGGCGTGTAACTTAAGCAAGGAATCGTTTTGATTTTAAAGTTACGACGGGTGATCAAAGATCGCGAACTAATTGAATAACTTCCATAAAAGAAACACAATTTGGTTGCAGTGTTGATTAAATTTTAAATTAGTCCTCTCCGATTTTAATGTACAT